CAGTTTAATTTAAATTACACAGCAACCTTGAAACTGCTCCTTGCTTCTTAAAACAATTCCCCACCCTGAAAATGCATTTAAAAACATTGTTTTAATTGGGACCGAAAGAGGGGGTGAGAAAAGAAGAAGGAAGAAGGCGCGCAAAATAGTATTTTTAACACAGGACGCAGACATGCAATCATTTTAATTCTCTTGAACCTCCCAGCTCTGAGATGACTTTTTAAAATTGGGTGTTAGCAGGTGTACTTTTTGTTATTTCACATTGGCAATTTTCTCTGACAATACACGGAGAAAAGGGAGAGGAAATGCTTATGAAGGCCAGAGAAATGTACTCTGGGGTTTCTTTGTTCCTTCTCATGCTTTATGTCTTCCTGTTTATTATTAGGCACCCAAAACTTGAAGGATTAGAGGTCTTCTTTGTCTATGGAGATTCTCAATTGTTGAAGGAAAAATCTTCATCAGGGTCCAGTCCAAGCCGGAAATAAACAAACTTGGAGACTGCTTTAGAAAGAAGGTTGTAGTTTATTGAAGAGGAGAGCCAGACAGAAAGATGGCTCTAGAAAAAAGAGAGCACATGTAGTAGGGAGTGGGTTTTTATACCTTCTTGGGCTTTTGTTTGGAGTTGTTCCTGTGTCATGAACTTTGACATGAATCTGAGTGTGCCTTTCTGGTATTCCAATGGTGGTGGGTTAATTCTATTATGTCCTGTCTTAGAGTTTTGGTGGGGTATGTAGATTTTAAGAGTCTTGTCTTCCTGATCTCTTCAGCTTCTAGCTGGAGGGCTCCAATCTTCCCGAATGGATTATTACATCTGCATTTCTAAAAGCTGGTTTCTGTTGAATTGTCTGGCTGGGGGGGGGAGTGTGGAGAAGTTTCTGCCTTTTTAAAGATCTTCTTCATTATTCCTTGAGGAAAATATATTCTGCCTTTTTAATATTCCCAAAAATAATACTTCTTCTTGATTATTCCCACACAATCATCCAGGTCATGATTGTCCCAAAGGTGCTTTTCCGAAAGGATTTGGGCTATCTTGATTTTTTTTTCCTTGAAAACCTTTTGCTTCTCATCCAAGAAGCTCCTTCAGAACTGATGAGAAGCTAAAACATTTTCAAGGGGGGGGGGGAAATCAAGAAAGTCCTGTTGCCTTTTGGAAAAAGCACCTTTGGGACAACCATGACCTGGATGATCGAGGATCTCCATAGACAAAGAAGATAATATTTTAGCTTTTACCATAGAATGTTCACCTTTCTTGAGCAGAAGTCCATAATGGGATAAGAAGATAGCCACTGGACTCTAAATCGAGATTAAATGTGGTTGAAATCCTGATAGATATCCAACTCTCACATGAAATATATATTCTCACATAAGATCTCAAGAAGTTGAGGGCCTGTAGACGAGAGGGTCTACATTGGTAAGAAGGTTTACACCAAAGACAAGAGAAATTATTTGTTTATCATTACTACTCATAACTGTAGAAACTGTAGAATATGTAGAAACACTTCCAAGCAAAGTCAACAGGGAAAATGAGTTTTGCCTCATTGTATGACCAGTTGTTAAGTGACCCACTCTTGGTAACACCATTGTTAAGTGACTTCCCCATTGCCTTTGCTTGTCAGAAGGTCGCAAAAGGATGTGGGAGGACAGCACACACACACACTCCAGAGAAAGAAATATTTTGGGGACATTAAAAAGGCAGAATATTATATTTCCCCCAAAGAATCTTAAAGGCAGAAAAGCAGGCCCAATTTTTCTTAATAGCCCCCAGTAGAAACACAGGAAACCACCTTTTAGAAATGCAGATTTGATAGCCCCATTCATGAACAAATACGAGCAGGCAGAAGCCCATTCAAGACAAAATATTTTGAAATCCCTTGCAGTAAAACTGATAGCTAACAATACCAGAGAGATAGGATTAGAACCAGCAACCCCTCACCCAAAAACATCCAGCACAGGACATAGTCATCAGCCACAGCCCCAAGGAAGCAGGATATGTAATAGGATTAACCCACCACTCCCTACTACATGTGGTCAGCTTTCCCAGAGCCACATTTCTGCTGGCTCTGCTCTTCAATAAACTGCAACCTTCTTTCTAAAGCGGTCTCCATTTTGTTTATGCCCTGCTTGGACTGGACTCTGATGAAGAGTTTTCTTTCAGCAACCCAAAGGTGCTTTTTTAAAAGGCAACTGGACTTTGTTTTTCCTTGAAGACGTTTCCCTGGGACACTGCAACCGTCATAAGTATATGCCAGCTGCCAAGTGTCCGAATTTTGGTCATGTGATCGTGGGTATGCTACAAAGGTTGTAACTCTGAAAAATGGTCACGAGTCACTTTTTTCAGTGCTGTTTTAACTTTGAACAGTCACTAAATGAACTGTTGTTAAGTCAAGGACGCACATGTACACCTCATCCTAGACGGGAACGCCTATGTCAGGACATGAGTTGTGTGAAATCAAAAGTCAGACAGAGTCAGGTATCACTTTTTTCAGGCTGACCAAGTTTATTATAAGATACAGGTTTTGTGATTGAAATTGCCTCAGACAACACAATACAAGTAATTGCATCAGGTATTGCTGGGCAAGTCCTAAGTTGAATTTGATACATGACAATGCCATGATGCTCGAGTTATCATGCTTCGCATCTAAACATTTTTCTGCTAAGGTGTTGTTGAAAGAAAAATCTTCATCAGGGTCCAGCCCAAGCTGGGAATAAACAAAATGGAGACTGCTTTAGAAAGAAGGTTGTAGCTTGTTGAAGAGCAAAGCCAGACAGAAGCGTGACTCTGGGAAAGCTGACTACACGTAGCTGGGAGTGGTGGGTTTTTATACCTTCTGGGGTTTTTGAGGTTGTTTCCTGTTCCTGTTTGAGGCTTTGTATTTCCTGTGTCATGTACTTTGACCTGAGTCTGAGTGTGCCCTTTTGGTATTGATGGGTTAATACTATTATGTCCCCAAAGGTCGTCTTTTAGAGTTTGGGTGGGGTAGGTAGATTTTAGATGTCTTTGTCTTCCTAATCTCTTCAGTTTCTAGCTGGAAGGCTCCAATCTTTCAGAAAGGATTATTTTGAATTTGCATTTTTAAAAGCTGGCCTCTGCTGAGTTTTCTGGCTGGGGGGGTAGGAGAAATTTCTGCCTTTTTAATATTCCCCAAAATATTTCTTTCTCTGCATTCTTCCCACAGTGTCTTGGCTGGCAGCTGGCTACAGATGCCACCATATCCCAGACTGTCTCAAAGGTGCTTTTCAAAAGGTAACTGGACTTCCTTGGTTTTTCCTTGAAAACGTTTTGCTTCTCATCCAAGAAGCTTCTTAGGTTCAGTCAGTTCTTAAACAAACAAACAAAACCTAGAAAATCCAGTTGCCTTTTGAAAAGCACCTTCGGGACAAGCCTGTCATGAATGATTGAGAATCTCCATAGACGTTGTTGAAAGAAAAATCTTCATCAGGGTACAGTCCAAGCCGGGAATAATGAAAATGGAGACTGCTTTAGAAAGAAGGTTGCAGTTTATTGAAGAGGCGAGCCAGACAGAAAGATGGCTCTGGGAAAAACTGGCCACATGTAGCAGGGAGTGGTGGGTTTTTATACTTCTTGGGGCTCTCAAGGTTGTTTCCTGTTTCTGTTTGAGGCTTTGTATTTCCTGTGTCATGTACTTTGATCTGAGTCTGAGTGTGCCCTTTTTGGTATTCTGATGGTGGTGGGTTAATCCTATTACGCCCCAAAGGTCATATCCTGCTTCCCTGTGACTGTGGCTGATGACTGTTGGATTTTTGGTGTGAGGGATTGTTGATTCCAAAGATCTTTGTCTTTCTAATCCAAGCTTTCTGGTTCCAATCTTTCTGACAAGATTACCACATCTGCATTTCTGCAGACCTGATTTTTGTTTGGGGCAGAGAGGTGTGGGGAGTGGAAGGGGTTCTGCCTTTAAGATCCTTTGGGGAAATATAATATTCTGCCTTTTAATATTCCCAAGAATATTTCTTTTTGGGGGGGGGCTGACTTCCCACAACATATATCCTAGCTTGTCTACACCTTTGTTAAAGTTCTGTAAACTGTAGTCCTTGCTCATCCCAAAGGCGCTTTTTTAAAAGACAACTGGACTTTCTTGTTTATTTGGGGTTTTTTTGAAAAGTTACTTTTTGAAAAGCACCTTTGGGACAACCACGACCTGGATGACTGAGAATCTCCATAGACAATCTGGTCCTTGCTGGTTTGATCTCTGGATGAGGATCTCTGGATGGGTACCACCAAAATGCTGGCAAAGCAGAAATCCAAAGTACAGTAAAAAAAAAAAAAAATACAAACCAAGTTCTTTTGACTTCATTCTCCTAAGTGGCCACGGTGGGGAGCTGCTGTTGATCCTGCCTGTTGAATTGAATTACACTCCTAAATTAGCTTTTTTATATATATAAAAAAAAAAATTAGCACGAATAACAAGAAAATAATGCTTGCAACAGCTCCCCTCAGTGGCCACTTGGCAGAATGGAACCAAACGAGTTACAGTTCAGATCTTCTTAACCGCTTTAAGAAGCGTAGACTGAGGAATTCTGGGAGTTGAAGTCTCGACGACTCGAAGTCGCCAAGGTTGAAACTGGGAGGGTTGCCCTAAGCTATCACGGCGGCATCATTGCCCGTGAAAAATATGGCCGCGCTTCCTCTTCCGTCTATCTCCGACGGCAATAAACATGGCTTCCCTCCGCCGGAAGGAAGGCTCGAAGCGCCCGTGACAAACATGGCTACAGCGGAGAAGTCTATCCTTCTCGACTCTCCGAGTCTTTATTTTATTTCTTTTTTTCCGCCAATCAACCCCGGGCCCCTAAGGAGGAACTCCTCGCGAAAAAAATCGCCCTTCGCCTTGGAGGTCGCTTGGGGAGACGCAAAGCCGCCTGCCCGTAACCAAAAGGGCCGCGGCGGCCTCGGAAGAGCGTCGACACGACCCTTCCGGCCCACGCTCCGGTCACGTGACGAGGCAGCCGGGTCCTCCGCGGCGGCGGTCAAGCCGGAGACCATGGCGGCTTTCGGGGCGCTGCGGCGAGCGTGGATCGCGGCGGGGGGGCTTCACCCTCAGGTGGGTATGCCCGGGGGGAGAGAGGGACGGGGGCTGTGACGTCACGCGCCCGTCGCGCGATGGGATATGTAGTCCGTCGGGCCCGCCACCGGCCTGCGCTGCTCGTCCTTGCAGGGGAGCCCGACACAGGGGCGGGTTAGCCGTCGGGTCTCCTCGGGGGTGGGACGGGGAGTCCCTAGGACAGGGGGGCTTCCCACTTGGCCCTTTTATGACTTGTGGACTTCAACTCCCAGAATTCCTCAGCCAGGCACGCCAGGAATTCTGGGAGTTGAAGTCCACAAGTCGTCAAAGGGCCAGGTTGGAAGACCCCCTGCCCTAGGAGGAGCCTCCGCTTGGCTTCCTCCTCCCTTCCGGACCCTGAACGTAGGCCCAAACCGGGGCCGGGGGGGGGTCATCTCAGCCTCCCTATTCGTGGTCCCTCCTCGGCATCGCCTGCAAGGGGTTTTTCCCCCTCTGAACGTTGCAAAAGCAGGAGTGGCCCCCTTGAAGTCCCTCCCGAGTCTGGGGCTGTTTTGCAAGGATGGGTGCTGCACCCTGAGCTGGGTTGCTTCCTGGCAAGCGTCTCATTACCAGACAGGGGAACGTCATCAGTGCTAGAAGTATGTGGAGTTTGCAGAGAGGAGGAGGAAGAGGAGGAGGAAGAGAAGGACTCTGAGGTCCTGGGTGCTCCCTGAGCTGAGTTGCTTCCTGGCAGGCGTCTCCTTGCCAGACTAGGTGACATCATCAGTGCTAGAAGTGTCTATGGCAGTGTTTCTCAACCTTGACAATTTTAAGGCATGTGGACTTCAACTCCCAGAATTCCACAGCCAGCAATGCTCGCTGTGGAATTCTGGGAGTTGAAGTCCACATGCCTTAAAATTGTCAAGGTTGAGAAACACTGGTCTATGGAGATTCTCAGTCATTGGGGGGGGGGGTTTCCAAAAGTGCTTTTTCAGGAGGCAATGGGACTTTCTTGATTTCCTTTGAAGACCTTTTGCTTCTCATCATGGGAGCTTCTTCAGCTCAAGCTTGCAGACAGCTGGCTATTTGCATTCTTCTCTGCCTTCAACCCTGAAGGCACACAGGGCAGGAAAACATCCTGCAGCCACTTGCACCACTCAGGGGACCCTGAGGACACAGGTAAACCTCCAAGTGGCCTCCACGACTCTCTAAAAGAAGGCAAATGACCAGCTGTCTGCAAGGAGTATAAATCCTCCCATTCCCCCCCCCCATCCAGTCAGAGCTGAGGAAGCTTCTTGGAGGAGAAGCGAAACGTCTTCGAAGAAAAACAAGACAGTCCACTGGCCTCCTGAAAAAGCACCTTTGGGACATCAGTGCTAAGGGAAATGGCCCTTGCAGGGGTCCTGGGTGCTCTCTGAGCTGGGTCATTTCCTCGCAGACCTTTCATTACCAGACTAGGTAACGTCATCTGTGCTACAAGGGAATGGCGTTTGCAGGGAAGAGGAGGACTGTGGCATTGCAATTCCCCCGTGTATTTTTGCCACTTCCTTTGCAGGTTCACAGGACCTCTGTGCCCCTGAGGTGGTCCCAGGCCAGAACCTCTTTTGTTCCTCGGTTGAAGAGTTTTCCTGTCGCGCCTTGGAGACTCACAATCCGGAGTCAGAGCACCGCAGCCGTGGCAGGCATCCAGGTGGGGCAACTGTGCTTGGACTGTTCGAAGGGATGTAAAAGGGAACCTCATCCGGGAGTGACGTTGGCATGTGGGGAACCTGCCTTACCTTCATTTTTGCCTTTCCCCTGGCAGGTTGCGCAAGGTGTGTCCACCCCACCTCTGGAGGAAATCCTCCCTCTGGAGGAACTTGGTCAAGTAGTTTTGCAAGAACCGACATTCGCCGAACTGGGCCTGGAAAGCTACACCCCGGTGGGCTTTATCCTGAAGCTTTTGGAATCGTTCCACCTGGACCTGGGGCTGCCTTGGTGGGGAGCCATTGTGGCAGGTAAGGAGGAGGATGGGATAGTTCTAAGCAGATGGGAACAGGAAAAAACAGGGTTATACAGGTAGCCCTCGACTTAACGACCACAGCGGAGGGCAAAATTTGTGTGGTTAAGCGAGACATTTGTTAAGTGAGTTCTGCCCCATTGCCACGATTGTTAAGGGAGTTACTGCGGTTGTTAATTGGCTAACATAGTTGTTAAGTGAATCTGGCTTCCCCCATTGACTTAGGTCGCCAAAGGCGATCACGTGACTCTGGGACGCTGCAACCGTCATAAATGTGAGTCAGTTGCCCAGCGTCTGAAAGTTGATCGCATGACCACGCAATGTCATAAATGTGGGGAAAAAAGGGACATAAGTCTCTTTTTTCAGTGCTGCTGTAACTTCAGTCACTAAATGAACTGTCGTAAGTCGAGGACTACGTGTATGCCACTGGACCAGGAATTGCGCATTGTGACTGGGAACAGAAGTCAAATCACAACTGGCTGGTAAGCCAGGCCAAAATTGGTAGACAGAATTGACGTCGGGGGTACTGTATAAATTTCTTTCGTTCTCACAGGTGTCCCAAATCAGCAGAGTGGAGTCTTGAGTTTTGTTTTGTTTTTTAACTTTAAAAAAATAATTTTATTTTGGGGAAATGACCTCCCACCTTGTGTTCCTGTGGCTCATCACAGCCTCCCATCCAGCTATGGACTTTCTGCATCTCTAGGGTAAATTCTTGAGGGCCTGAACCTTGTAGTTGCCTTGCAAAGTAATGCAATTCTTCTCTCCTGCCCAATTTCCAGGCACGGTATGTATACGCTGCCTGGTCTTCCCACTCATTGTAAAGAGCCAGCGAGACGCAATCGAATTAAACAACCACGTACCCCAAATGACTGCATTGACTGCCAGAATCAGCGAAGCCAAGAAGACTGGCAACAGACAACAGTGTAAGTTTAAAATGGGATCAAACCTGAGTGGGATTAAAATAAGGCTCTGGGATTAAATCAAAGTCTGCAACAGCAGCCGTTGAGATCGGGCTGAAGGAAGACGACGTGGATGGAAAGGTGATCTTCCATTAATATTACCGGCCTCTAAAATGCACTACTATGGTTGAGGGAGATAGGAATTGTAGTCCACTATCTGGAGGACAGGAAGTGCTCATAAGCAACACTTGCAAGACAGGTTTAGTTGTATCTTAACGTCACATTTCCTGTCTCTTTTGCTCCCAGTTTCGCAGGCCGTCATGGATCTGGAACACTACCAGAAGACCCATAATATTAACCCCCTGCGAGGATTAATCACGCCTCTTGTCCAGGTCAGCTTCTGTGGCATGCTTGGAATTTGTTATCGTGTGCACGGCTTACCGGCTTGACCTCTTCTCTTCTCGGTCGCAGGCTCCCATTTTCATCTCGTTCTTCTTTGCCCTGCGCAAAATGGCGGAGTGTCCTGTGCCCGGCATGCAGACGGGGGGACTCTGGTGGTTCACGGACCTCGCAGCCCCGGATCCTTACTACATACTTCCCGTGATGGTATCTGTCACCATGTGGATTGTTACGGAGGTACGATTTGGGCAATTTGAAAGCGAAGTCTGGCTAGCCACAGATTTTGCTTCCACTTAGCTTTTACCTAGCGTTCCCCCAGATCTCTTCCTCCACCTGTCGGGATTTTGAAGAAATTGGTAGGCATGAGAGAGGGCTTCTGGGGTGGACCATGTAAAAATCTACCCAGATCTTGACTAGGGATTGAGTGGCTCTCCATTTATCCGAAGCCTGGCTCTGCCTGGATCTTTGACCTGCTTGTTTCCTGTCAGGCTAATTCAAAACCATCCTGGTGGTGTGGATTGAGGACTGGGATAGATACGTGAAGCAGGAAGAGTAGAAAATTGAGCAGTGGTCACTGGATAACACCTGTCTTTCCTTCAGACTGGGATGCAATCAGGACCTCCACACCCAAACCTGGAGCTAATGAAAAAGGTTTTCCGAGTGATGCCCGTGGTCTTCCTTCCGTTCATAATTTCCTTTCCAACGGTAAGAGGGCATGTCAGCTGGGTTCTGCGGAAAACCCCACGGATTTTTATTTGTTAATCAAATGTATAGGCAGTCTGTCTCACTGTCATGTGCAGAGTGCAGTTGTGCAAGGCAAAGATGGCAAAGAGGTAGACATAACTTTCTTTAAGTCTCATAGCTTCAAAGGGGGCACTGCTGGAAACCTGCATGCTTTCCACACTTTGTTCTACAAGTTATTTGTTCGTTTATTTAATTGTATTTGTATAGCCGCTCATCTCACATAGTGACTCTGGACAGCATACGTAGTAATAATCGAGAGTATATTAAAACCATTAAAACAACATATTTAATTAAAATAAGATAGAAGCAAATAAACTGGTGAAAAAACATATAGTGTACTTTGGTCTAGTAGTTAAGGCTGCAGGCTAGAAACCAGGAGACTTGAGTTCTAGTCCTGCCTTGGGCATGAAAACCAACTAGGTGGGCCAGTCACTCTTTCTCAGCCCAAGCACTTCACAGGGTTGTTGTGGGGAAAAGTAGGAAGCAGATTAGGTATGTTTGCCACCACAAGTTATTTACAAAAATAATAAAAGATTTTTTTAAAAAAGTCGTACAAGCATCTAACAGGCTCCATTCTACCAAGGGTTCCCCAAACTGGTTGACAAAGCCGTATTTTAAGAGAGGGTGTTACACAGGGCTGGGATCTTAATAGCAGAAAGGGCTTTCTTCCTAGCCCCAAATAAAACAGTCCCTGTCCCACGACGTGTCTCTCCTGCCGGACCTGATAGGAGTGGATATAACCAGGGAGAGGCAGTCGTTCAAATATCTCAATTCCATGCCATGTAGAGCTTTGAAGGGAAAAACACCTTGAATTGGACCCAGAAGCAAACTGGCAACCAGGGCACCTCACGTGGCAGAGGTGTAGCACGTGCAGATCTTGGAGCAGGCATTACTGCAGCAGCACCAACTGAAACTTCTGGATATTTTTTCAAGGGTAGCCCCGTGTAGAGTGCACTAGAGTAGTCCATTCAGGAGGTGAATACGGCAGGAATGACAGAAAGTAGAGTCTCCTGGCCCAAGAAAGGGCGCAATTGGCACACAGCATGAAGCTGTGCAGAGGCCTTCCTGGCCACAACTCCCACCTACTCTTCAAGCAGGAGTCCTGACTCCGGAGGAACCCCCAAGCTGTGCATGAGGTTTGCTTGGGGCAGGGCAACCCCATCTAACACGAAGATGGTAAATCCCCAGATGCAGAAGGCCTTAAAACCTAAAAGCCACTAAAAGCCTNAGTCTATCCTTCTCGACTCTCCGAGTCTTTATTTTATTTCTTTTTTTCCGCCAATCAACCCCGGGCCCCTAAGGAGGAACTCCTCGCGAAAAAAATCGCCCTTCGCCTTGGAGGTCGCTTGGGGAGACGCAAAGCCGCCTGCCCGTAACCAAAAGGGCCGCGGCGGCCTCGGAAGAGCGTCGACACGACCCTTCCGGCCAATGCTCCGGTCACGTGACGAGGCAGCCGGGTCCTCCGCGGCGGTCAAGCCGGAGACCATGGCGGCTTTCGCGGCGCTGCGGCGAGCGTGGATCGCGGCGGGGGCGCTTCACCCTCAGGTGGGTATGCCCGGGGGGAGAGAGGGACGGGGGCTGTGACGTCACGCGCCCGTCGCGCGATGGGATATGTAGTCCGTCGGGCCCGCCACCGGCCTGCGCTGCTCGTCCTTGCAGGGGAGCCCGACACAGGAGCGGGTTAACCGTCGGGGGTGGGACGGGGAGTCCCTAGGACAGGGGGGGCTTCCACCTTGGCCCTTTTATGACTTGTGGACTTCAACTCCCAGAATTCCTCAGCCAGGCACGCCAGGAATTCTGGGAGTTGAAGTCCACAAGTCGTCAAAGGGCCAGGTTGGAAGACCCCCTGCCCTAGGAGGAGCCTCCGCTTGGCTTCCTCCTCCCTTCCGGACCCTGAACGTAGGCCCAAACCGGGGCCGGGGGGGGTCATCTCAGCCTCCCTATTCGTGGTCCCTCCTCGGCATCGCCTGCAAGGGGTTTTTCCCCCTCTGAACGTTGCAAAAGCAGGAGTGGCCCCCTTGAAGTCCCTCCCGAGTCTGGGGCTGTTTTGCAAGGATGGGTGCTGCACCCTGAGCTGGGTTGCTTCCTGGCAGGCGTCTCATTACCAGACTGGGGAACGTCATCAGTGCTAGAAGTATGTGGAGTTTACAGAGAGGAGGAGGAGGAGGAGGAAGAGAAGGACTCTGAGGTCCTGGGTGCTCCCTGAGCTGAGTTGCTTCCTGGCAGGCGTCTCCTTGCCAGACTAGGTGACATCATCAGTGCTAGAAGTGTCTATGGCAGTGTTTCTCAACCTTGACAATTTTAAGGCATGTGGACTTCAACTCCCAGAATTCCACAGCCAGCAATGCTGGCTGTGGAATTCTGGGAGTTGAAGTCCACATGCCTTAAAATTGTCAAGGTTGAGAAACACTGGTCTATGGAGATTCTCAGTCATTGGGGGGGGGGTTTCCAAAAGTGCTTTTTCAGGAGGCAATGGGACTTTCTTGATTTCCTTTGAAGACCTTTTGCTTCTCATCATGGGAGCTTCTTCAGCTCAAGCTTGCAGACAGCTGGCTATTTGCATTCTTCTCTGCCTTCAACCCTGAAGGCACACAGGGCAGGAAAACATCCTGCAGCCACTTGCACCACTCAGGGGACCCTGAGGACACAGGTAAACCTCCAAGTGGCCTCCACGACTCTCTAAAAGAAGGCAAATGACCAGCTGTCTGCAAGGAGTATAAATCCTCCCATTCCCCCCCCCATCCAGTCAGAGCTGAGGAAGCTTCTTGGAGGAGAAGCGAAACGTCTTCGAAGAAAAACAAGACAGTCCAGTGGCCTCCTGAAAAAGCACCTTTGGGACATCAGTGCTAAGGGAAATGGCCCTTGCAGGGGTCCTGGGTGCTCTCTGAGCTGGGTCATTTCCTCGCAGACCTTTCATTACCAGACTAGGTAACGTCATCTGTGCTACAAGGGAATGGCGTTTGCAGGGAAGAGGAGGACTGTGGCATTGCAATTCCCCCGTGTATTTTTGCCACTTCCTTTGCAGGTTCACAGGACCTCTGTGCCCCTGAGGTGGTCCCAGGCCAGAACCTCTTTTGTTCCTCGGTTGAAGAGTTTTCCTGTCGCGCCTTGGAGACTCACAATCCGGAGTCAGAGCACCGCAGCCGTGGCAGGCATCCAGGTGGGTCAACTGTGCTTGGACTGTTCGAAGGGATGTAAAAGGGAACCTCATCCGGGAGTGACGTTGGCATGTGGGGAACCTGCCTTACCTTCATTTTTGCCTTTCCCCTGGCAGGTTGCGCAAGGTGTGTCCACCCCACCTCTGGAGGAAATCCTCCCTCTGGAGGAACTTGGTCAAGTAGTTTTGCAAGAACCGACATTCGCCGAACTGGGCCTGGAAAGCTACACCCCGGTGGGCTTTATCCTGAAGCTTTTGGAATCGTTCCACCTGGACCTGGGGCTGCCTTGGTGGGGAGCCATTGTGGCAGGTAAGGAGGAGGATGGGATAGTTATAAGCAGATGGGAACAGGAAAAAACAGGGTTATACAGGTAGCCCTCGACTTAACAACCACAGCGGAGGGCAAAATTTCTGTGGCTAAGCGAGATATTTGTTAAGTGAGTTCTGCCCCATTGCCAGTTGTTAAGGGAGTCACTGCGGTTGTGAATTTGGTAACACGGTTGTTAAGTGAATCTGGCTTCCCCCACTGACGTAGGTCGCCAAAGGCGATCACGTGACTCCGGGACGCTGCAACCAGACGGAGCTTGGGCCAATACCTGAGACCTTGACCCGCGGCTCGACTAAGGACCTGGTGGCCGCCTGGGATGGTGCGGCCGCGGGGGCCCTGGACCGGGTCGTGCCTTTGCGGCCCCTCACCCGATGCCAGTCTACCTTGGCTCCTTGGTTCTCCGAGGAGCTGAGGGTGATGAAGCGTCGGAAGAGATGCCTAGAGAGTAATTGGAGGGCCACCCGCTCCGAATCCGATCGGAAATTGGTAAAGTCCCATTTAAGGACTTACCTAGTAGCGATAAGAGCGGCGAAACGAAACTATTTCTCCGCTCTTATCGCGTCTGCAGGTAACCGA